ATGCTTTCTGATCTTTACTAAGATATAGTAAGATATCAACTCTGTTATTAAAAGGATTTATAATAGAAGCATTTGCATCATTCTTATGACCATCGAAGGATGGGATTCCTTCTCTAGTGAAGGAGTAACTGGATGGTTTGCACTACTCCTGCAACCTGAAATAATGCCTTTAAACCTTCGTTTCCACTCAGACCAAACGTACCAACCTGAAGAAACCTAACTCTGAAAGAACAGGCCATGGTTTGAGAGTGAAGTTCAATCCATTGGCCCTTCTCCTAGATGCTTCTTTGGAGGGAGAATTTGATCTTGTACAAAGAATCATATATGAGGTAAGTTTCCAAACAAATGGAACTTCTTTCTATACTAGAGAAAAAAAAAAGTGCTGAACTATTTCATGTTTTCCATAGGTTGATGATCCCAGTAAGCCCAATGATGAAGGAATTACACCTTTGCATAATGCAGTGTGTGCTGGTCATCACCACATTGTGAAGTTCCTGCTTGATTTTGGAGTAAATGTAAATGCAGCAGATAGTGATGGGTGGTAAGTGGCAAGATTTTTTAACTTAGCATCTGAAGGAACACTGTTTTGATGCCAATTCAGTATTTAGTGGGGACCTGCTTGGGGATCCATTTCCTTCTCCTTTGTCCCCAGCAAATGAGGACTTGCTAATTTTGAGATGGTAACAAACTCCAATACAAAGCTCCGTTGTTGACAGGCCCGTTCCCCACGGGCAAGCAGGTTCACATTACAAATTATGGTACGTTTTGTTTTTACTTAGAAGTACAGGTGAATTTCTTGTTCACAGGCTGAAGCAATTAAACTTTAAATAATGAATGACAAAAATGTGTTGAAGTTTCATTTTCACATAACCCAGTCCCAGATTTTGTGAAGAATGCAGCCTAGCAGGTAGATGTAGCACCTGTCAAGAGTTTGGAGGAGATGTGGAACCTTGCCATGCGGCTGAGCAGTTTGTCCCCCACCTTACCTTGCCTTTCAAATTTCCTAATATTGGAAAATACTGGTTTTACATCCAGCAGCACTGCAAGCTATGCAAATCAACATAAAATAACATCTATTTTATGTTTGGCTTTACTGGAGTCGGGCCGATGCTGGAATCCACTCAGAGTCATTTGGCCTGTTTTGAACAGTGCATGCGTGTCCCATAAAGAACAACTTCCTTTAATAACAGACAATCTGTATTGCAAGACAAAATAGCTAGGATTCCTGGCATTTATTTTTTTTCATTTCTACATTTTTGCTTTATTTCAGGACACCTTTGCATTGTGCAGCTTCTTGCAATAGTGTTCATCTCTGTAAACTATTGGTTGAATCTGGGGCAGCTATTTTTGCTTCAACTATAAGTGATATAGAAACTGCTGCAGACAAGTGTGAAGAGATGGAAGAAGGTTATATCCAGTGTTCTCAGTTCTTGTACGGTGAGCTATGACACTTCTTTACAAACTTGTTTTCTCTCTTCTAAAATTTGTCCCTTTTCTGGCACTGACCTGAAGGAAACATCTGCTTGGGCTCCAGGCTGCCCTGCACCAGTTCTTTCAAAATGGTAAAAACAGAGCAGTCTTTGGTTGTTATGTTGCTCGTAGTCCTTTCCTTCTTGACTTGCAGACTCCATCTGACGCTACAATTGGGTTTAATTTCAAGGAAATGCTTCCACAGGGAGATTTTCACAGTACCAGTGAGTTGTCAAGTATCTTGACAGAAATATTCCAACAAATTTTTGGCAGATCACCTTCAGAAACGTGTATGCATTATGAATAATTAACTTAGAGAATGTGCTGAGTTACTAAGACATATTTTGCAAGGAAAGTACCTTGATGGAGCAAAAAAAACTGTAATTTACGGAGATGGAGATAAGCTTAATTCAGGCTGTGACACTGTGCAGATTTTCAGAAGCTTCAAGCAGTGCTGTATGCAGTGTGTGCAAGCTCTGGTACAGAACCGAGGCCTTTGAGAAACACACCAGTTCTATAAAGTTGCTTTGCTCAAACAGTTGTCAAACTGTTTTTGTCCTCCTTTGAATAGAAGTAAGATTATGAAGTTGCTATTGCTGAAAATGGTGTATGAAATGTTAATAAGGAGACTAATGTTTGAGCCACACCAGAAGTCTCGGGGAAAAATAGATTGCCATCTACTGCGCTAACTTCTTGTTCACAGGAGTGCAGGAGAAGTTGGGAGTGATGAACAAAGGAGTGGTGTATGCACTGTGGGATTACGAGGCCCAGAACAGCGATGAGCTGTCCTTCCACGAGGGCGATGCCATTACTATTCTGAGACGCAAGGATGACAACGAGACGGAGTGGTGGTGGGCCCGCCTCAATGATAAGGAAGGCTATGTGCCTAAAAATCTCCTTGGGGTAAGTGCTGAGTTACCACTTGCCTTTAATTGTTTTACTTGTCCCTGACGTAGGATCTGTGGTCATCGTCTCAATGCTCTGCAACTGAAGTGTGGTGGCTTTATTAGGCAGCCTAAGTTTTGGCCCAGGAAGATACTTAGGAAGGCTTTTAATACTTGGCACGAGATAAACATACATTTATACTTAAAAATGGGAAAAAGTCTTGAAGGTGGCAGCTTCAGGCAAGTCATTTATGCAGCTCTCAGCAAATGTAACACTGCTATCAAAAAAGTCCAGGAATGGAAGGCCACCAAGTGGACAGAGAGTGCAAAATAAGCTCTTTGGGGGCTTGACAGGGAACTCCTGTATTTCTGTAAAAGAATCTCCTAACCTAGGGTGGGATCTTCAACTAAAAGAACCAAGTTACTTGCAGAGCAGCAATCTGCTCGTGTTTGCACAAATAAATCAGCCCCTGGCATCCTGATGTTGCTGGTTTAATTTTTCAGAAGTCACCAAAGAACTTGCTGTAGCTCAATAATAAATAAAAAAGCCCTCATGCCCCTAAAACTCTTCTTTTTAACACTCAGGTCTCATCAGTACCCCTTAGTTATAACTTAATTGATTTTATATTTAATTTGCTGTCAACCATGCAAAGCCTAATACTTTCATTCTGTTTTTACAGTTATATCCACGAATAAAACCTAGACAGAGAACCCTTGCTTGAATTCAGTTGTACAACAGTGCAACACCTTGCTGGTAACTGGAAACTTAAAACATACACTGGAGCCATTGTTTTTGATCATTTCACACGGAGAAATAAAACTATGATACTTAGTTTTAATGGTGCTTTCTCTCGTTAAATGGACAGCATCCAAAAGTTTCAAGATCTGCAGTTTGTAAATGAATCCTGTTCTGTGTGACCCGCCACTGATGAGGAGAGCTGTATCTCCATACCTACAGTGTTCCGCCAACTGTTGTCTACAGCGATGTGTTGAGTTGAAGTTCGGTGTGGTAGGAGCTTTCTTGTGTTAAATGTCCAGAGGTGCCATTTGCGAAGTGCAGATAAGCTGTCCAGTTTGCTCCAACCCCACAGTAACTGTCCCATGTCAGGATTTTGGATGTTTTGTTCAATACCAGTGAATGTTGAGTTCTCTCATTACTCATCGACTCTTTGGGTTCTAGGATACAAGATCCTCACCAATTCCATTCATCAGTAAGTACTCACCAAAGCTTTACGAAGGCTGGGATGAAGTGTTAACGTGCTTTTGCACTTACATCCTAGTTCAGGCAACCCCAACAAAAGCTTTACATAGTCTAGCATCTAGTATAAATCTGCATTTAGAATCAAGCCAGAGAAACTAACCAAACAACAGTATTAGTACACTTTTCAAAGCCCCTACACGATGGTTCACTTGGTGTTATATTTTCTTATTATTCAGCCTACAGCACCAGTGTTACCTCTACTAATGTAAAGGTTCCCCTGATAACCACTGTTCTGGACAGAACAATTAATAGTGAACTTGCAGCAGCTTAAAGGATTTGTATGTCTGCATGGATGAAAGTGCAATAGTTGAGAAAGGTAAGAGTCTGGTAAGGGTAATACTGTGTAATTTAAGTCTGCCCAGGTCAGTCTAGAAGAAAAAATGAAGGACTGAATAGAAGTAGAAAGTGAGGTGTGTAGAGATGTTGACTTAAGGAGAAGACAGAAATGAGGTGTTATAAAGAAGGGTTTGAGAAAGGCAATAGCTAATTTGAGGACAGTTTCTGTGGTTCTTGGCAGCCTACAGCTGTTGCCAAGGCAAGTTATGCAATAATCTATTCCACTACATTGTAGTTTCAAGCAAAAAAAAAAAAAAAAAAGAAAAAAAGGAAAAAAAAAAAGCACTTCACTGGAATTTTAATTGTACATGATTTTATATACCAAAAGTATATTTTGAATTTCCCATTATAAGTTAAGTTGTAGCCATATTTCTTGTAATTTTCTCCCATTAAACAGTATGCAATTTGATTAATTCCCCATGTACAAGTTCTGTGTATAATTTATATATCCATCTCTGCAGTGCTGTAACTTGCTTTTACCACAGGTCAGCATTAACTGTATATATTGTGGTGAAAAGTGAAAGGGTATTATTGTTGAAGAATTTGCTACATGAATGTCATGATTCAAGAGCCTCCGATACACTAATGCAGAGAAAATGTACCTGTGCACAATAAAGTACTGCTAAGGCGCTGGCTGCATTCTCCCTGACCTTTATCCACGTGGCACCTGTAGGTGCCTTTCCTCAGTCAGCAGGAAAGACCAAAGACCGGCTGGCTGCTGACTGAGGCTTCCTCACTGTTGTACCCGGTGTACAGAGAACGACTGCCACGTCCATTTTGAACCACCTGGCACTGAGCTCTGGATTCCAACTGCAACAACTTCGTACCTGGCTAGAAAAGCTCTGAAGGGTCTTTTACACTTAAAGCTGAGCCTCTTATGTTTGCTCACTCAATTTTTACCAGTCTAGGACAGTGGAAGGAGAAAGACGTTGGCTGCAGGAGGTTTAGTCAGAGGACTGAGCAAATTAACAAGGCTTCAAACTGAAATGAGGGTCCCGCATTCAGCCGGTAGCACAACAGTACGTTGTGAAAGTAAGCAGCGCCTCCTGTTTAAATAAGTGAATTAATTTATTCATATTTGTACAGTAAAATGTATACAATTCCAGACAGCATTACAGTTAGATTAACAAAAGCTAGTTTCCAAAAAGAAAATACAAAACTAAAAATTATTCTGGAAGCTTTGTTATTACAGAAGGGAAGTTTCAAGATCATGTAATTCCAATTTGGTGATATTTGGTGAAATACGTTAAGAAAAAAATCAAGTGGATTCTATGAAGCCACATCTAAGGCAGATTTTATTGTACATTGATTTTAAACATTTGGATAGAGGGAAAAACCTGAGATCTATACCCAAAAGCTATTCTCTGCAGAAGAGACATACACCTTTGTTTGCTTTCTGTGGCAAACAGTATATATAATTGTTACTACAAAAGTTGTGCTGTACATTAGCTGTAGTGCAGGTCACTTTCATATTTCATATTAAGTGCCAATAAAGGCAATAAAGGTTTAACAAAATATACAAAGTCTTAAAAGGTGAGACTGTTTAAAGCATTAATTGTATACATATTGCACGCTATAGTGAATACTCATGGTTCAAAACAGAAATACATTGTATGTGCCAGTTCTTACATAATGAACCACACTGGAATGAGAAAAAGTCAAGAGAAAGTGTTAACCAGTTGTCAGACTAGCACCAGGTGAGATGCAGGTCCTCCGAGGCTGGTGTCTGCTCCCAAGCAGTTTGCTCATTTCTTACTGGTCCCGAGACTCATAAAGAAGTTTTGTTGCCTAATGTGAAAGCAAAAAATTACTGTCAAACTAATTCCCTCCACAAACAGCATAAGGCTAAAGGCATAGCAAGCAGCTGTAGCTTCTGTTTTCTTATGAACAAGGCCTTAAAGTCTGCACATTAAGAATAACAACAAAAAAGAACGAAAGCTCCAAGGACTGCATGCCCTACTGCTACTACTTTCTTCAGCCTTGTGTAAGTTTTGCCTCCCTTGCTTACCTTGTGCATAGCTGCCAGCCAGCTTGCTGACAGCTTCTTGTTAGAGCTGAAGTCTTCACTGGCCGTAAATTTCATCTGTGTGAGCTCCTCTGCTCCTGGTACTTTATACTGCAGAATCATACCTATGGCACGGGTATTGCCTCCTGAAAACACCAGCAGAAATCCTGAGCAGCAATGTTTTACCAACTAAATCAGCACAACGCTTTTAGGTAATAATCACGTTTGGAGAGAGCATCTTAGCACTGAATTCAAAGCTGACAACTGAGGGTGAGCTAACAGGTGCAGCATCAGAGGAAGCAGTGACAAGAGGTGGACAGTGGGATGTGGAATGGGCAGATGTGGTATTGCTTGCTTCTCTCCTGCAATCACTGAGGCGGAACCTGTAAAAGCCACTGGTGCACACACTGAGAAAACCCTCCTGTTTCAGTATTACCACCTGTCTCAAATAGATGACGTGGTTTCACAACACAGCCTGCAGTTTCTAAACTGAATTCCCAATGTCCAGTAAGACCAGTATCAAATAAGGATCCTTGTCGATCCAAGTCTGGCAGCGTTTGGGAATTTGGCAAGAGTACCTGGCAACGGGCAACAATGTCATTTATTTCCTGAAGGAAATCCCTTACGAAAGACATTGTTCTGACAGCAGTGCAATAACAAGGTGCTTGTGTCTCTCTAGCTGCATAGAAATTAAGATAAACCAAACCAGATGCACAGAAATTGAACAGAAGCTTTGTTTGGAACAGCACTTTGCTGCTTCACATTCACTCTGTTGGGGAGCTCATTTACTGAAGTAGCAGAGCAGAAACTAAAGCCACAGCAACAGCACGCGTACATAGGAGGACATTTTTACAAAAACTGCCTGTGTGAGCAGAAAGGGTCGTGGAAGCCAGGACCCTCATCTCCAGCTGCCAAAGACCATCTTGGTCAAAGCAATGAGATCAAAAGCACGCAGTGTTTATAAACAGTTACTTCCTCCTCTTGTGGGACAGACTGCAGTTCACCATCTTTATCCCTGTCTACTGCATCTACCCTGGCTACTAACTGCCAGGCACTAGCCAACAAAACACAGGAAATGCATTACTCATTTCTGGTGTGCACAATTCAGGAAACCTCTGTTGAAAGAGGGTGATGTGCAAAGCTGCATGCCACTGAAGATAGTTTCTCATCTGTCCTCTACAGGGGCAGACAGCAGCATGTGTGGTCAAAGAAAGGACTCAAGTACTTTGGTTCTCCTCCAAAGAGTTACAAAACAATCATTCTCAGTTTACTGAATAGATGTGAAGGAATAATCAGTACTGGAACATAACTTGTCTTAAGTTGAACAGACACACATCAAGCAATAAGCTGACACTGCATGGGAAAGCAGATGGGAGAGGGTCACAACAGCATGCTGGAGGGAGCTGTGCTCACAAAAGGTACTGGTGATACCTTCAGTAATATGCTGGCTCTCCAGAAGGCTGGTGTAAGTGTGAATATCTTTTTCTACCATCAAGAAGGAAGGCAGGCAGGCAAAAAGATAAAGCAATCAGAAGAGTAATGAACAAGAAATTACAGGAGCATTAAGCAACTCAGCAACACATTCGGTTGATTTGAATATCAAGTTCATTAAAGTTAACATGCTGTACTGATAGACTGTCCAATTAAAGATTCCAGCAGTGACAGAGATGTTGCTAACAAGTAATCATTAAAATTCCTGTCCCCATTTGTTCTCATTTCAATGAAATCATGTTCATCCTGAAATACTATGAAATGTGTCAAGAGGTGAAGCAGTAATAGCTGCCTTCTGATAAAAATGTTACCAGTTTAATTTGGCCACCCCTTCATCTTGAACGAAATTAAGAGCATCGTTTCATATTTTTAAACAGCTTCTCTCTTACTCTCCTCTGAACTGTTTGTACAAACAGAAGAGAAGCCCTGGCTGGACTCTGAAACTGAAACTGACAGCTCCCTTCTGTGAGCTCAAAGTTCAGCCAAGAGAAAGGATCAGACAAGATGAACACTTTTACTTTGGTTTACCAAGAAATTCTCTCATCTAAAATCATTTCTGAATTCTGAGGCTTCCCCCAAAATCCCAGCAGCCACATGGAAGGTTTTCCAGGCACAACACTATTCCAACAACTGCTGTAAATAACACACTTACACCTGAACTACCAATAACCCAGAAATGCACTGTCTGGCTTGAACAACAATTACAGCTCCACATTATTCTTAACAGTTAATTTGTACTGAATGAAAAAATTACCTCCAGGAGTAAATCCCTCTGTCAGTATCTGAACAGTTGAGATTTGGACAATTTCAATCTCGTAATGGCTGTCTCCATCCAAAACCAGGTATCTTTATAACAATAAATAAACAAACAAACAAACAAATCATTGATTTTCCTGTCAACAATATCAAATCCACATCAAATGTTTGGATTACTGTATAATAATACAGCTGTGTTCACAAGTGCTGTGTCGATCAACTGTTCTCACCTCTGATTGTTGGAGAGCCGACAGACCATGAGCTCCGATTTGTCCGACGTCCCCAGCGTTACAAAGAACGTCGCACCTGAGAAGAAAAGCTTCAGTATTCTAGTGCAGTATTTAGGGAGGAATATGGAAGTGTCAAAAAGGATAACTCATTTTTGCTTCCTGCACCCACCACACTGAACACATGAAGTCTTTAGTTATGTTCTGCATCATGCCTGTTCGCAATTAGATGCTGCTTTACCCGCATGCTGTACAAATAGGGACTATATCTAAGATAAATCCTTGAAAAATGAGAACGGCTTTGAGAAGGACAAAAACAAAGATGCTATCATGCCAAAATTACAAAGAAGGATCAATAGCAGGATGTGACTGTCAGCTGCGTGCTTAACAGATACGAAACACCACCTTTTGCAGCGCTTTAGACCAGCTCAGCCTTACTGCGAGGTCAGCAAACTTCTGCCTCTGTCTTATGTTTCCCACCTGCTCAAAACAGCTCTTTTGACATCAGGAAAGTTATCTCAGCATTGAAGTGATTCATAAATTAAAGCAGACAACACGCCTACCACTTTATTTCCTCCGTACCTCATACTCGGTTGCCTAATCCCACTAGCGTTGGCCTGGGAAATAATGCTAACACAGAGCACCGCCAAACGGCCTGTGCCCCATCTCCATCATCCATACCACGCACCTTCCGAGCTTCACCGCACTGCCAGCTTCCCACTTCACTGCACCTCGCTGACCCCTCAATGCAGACACACAGATTGCTGCAAAGCCACCGAGGAGATCAGAACAACCACTGCTCTGAGATCTGCAGGTCTGTGTAAAGCCACGAGTAACCACACTTCAGCTGCATAACATCAATGCAAGCAGGGCAAACTTTTTCAAGGAAAATCTTCAGGTTAATGTACATTATTTCAAAAACTATCATCACCAGTACCTGCCCAGCACACTGATACATGGTTTGTGCACTGCAGGGATGAACATACCTCCTTCACAGAATGGCCAGGGTTGGAAAGGACCTCAAGGATCATGAATCTCCAACCCCCTGCCACATGCAGGGTCACCAACCTCCCCATTTAACACCAGACCAGGCTGCCCAGGGCCCCATCCAACCTGGCCTTGAACACCTCCAGGGATGGATGGGGCATCCACAACCTCTCTGGGCAGCTGTTCCAGCACCTCACCACTCTCTCTGTAAAGAATTTCCCCCTGACATCCAACCTAAATCTTCCCTCCCTCAACTTAAAACCATTTCCCCTCATCCTGCAGTTATCAACCCTTTCAAAGTGTTGATTCCCCTCCCCTCTGTAGGCTCCCTTTAGGTACTGAAAGGCTGCAATGAGGTCACCCTGCAGCCTTCTTTTCTCCAGGCTGAACAAGCCCAGCTCCCTCAGCCTGTCCTCATAGGGGAGGTGCTCCAGTCCCCTGATCATCTTTGTGGCTCTCCTCTGGACCCTCTCCAACAGCTCCCTGTCCTTCTTGTACTGGGGCCCTAGAATCTCCTTAGGAACTAATCAGGCTGTGGTTTAGCATACTGGTTATACACACCTGTAACATGCCAACAATAAAGAGCCCATCAAAACCCTCAGAGTATTTTCAAAACTGAAAACTCAGCTTTTTTAATGTAATTGAAATGTGAATTCCTTTATTGCATGTAGCTTCAATGCTGTGCAGAATTGTCCTGCCGCCAATCACATCCACAGGCCATGAACAAGATCAAAGCTCACAGATAAAGCTTGAAAAAAAGCACAGTATCTCATCAAAAAGACAATCAAAATCTCAGTTGTTAAGCATTTTCATCCTAGTTTAGTGCAACAGAAATGCGGCCAAGGGATGGGCTATTTTAATAAAGTGCCAACCGCACACGTATCAGTCCTCAGAGGCACTCAAATGTTCTTTGTTTTTAATAGCTTTTTGTTTTCAATCTCTCTCAATAAGCTGGCGATACAGAATTCAGTGGCAAACAAGAAACACAACAAGGAAATGTCTTAAGGACAGAAAATGGCAGCGCAACAGCTTGACAAGAGGAATTAATCTTGCTGCCGATCAGATGTTTTTTAACACAGCATTTTTATCGACGTGAGACCAAAACAACGCACACACGCAGTCAGTACTTGCCATTCATGAGCACTTTGAGCTGTTTGTCATAGAACTCTGTTTCTTTCTGTGAGATGAGGGCACATTCAGCACACTGGCGCACAGGGTCCACAAAGCACATGCGAGGCAGAGGCACTTTTTTACTGCAGCACTTGTCACAGAAGCACTTTCCACATCTTCGGCAGTGATGCTGAGCGTGAGAGAATGTTTTATTTGTTTACAGAATAACGTGCTGAAGTTCTTACATTAAACATCCTCCTACCCAACAACCAGAAGTTCTCAGCTGTGAAATATTCACACTGAAGGGGCAGGACAGCAGCCAAGAGGTGAATGGCAATTAGCTGCTGTAGTGGTGGGAAGAACTCTCAGAAGACTGAGCCCTGAGAGTGGTGTGCAGTATGAACAGCACTGCAAGCTTTTGCTGGCACTGACAACACACTTCTGAAGCAGACCAATGAGACACTGAGAGGATTTTACCCAAAGTGCAGTAAATCCCTTCCTTGCCTCACTGGCAATAGAAATGGAGAAGAGCAGTTTCTAGGTCCCTTCCGAGCTCCAACTGCAGATTCTGTTCTCCCTCTAAACTTGTTCTCAAATGTTTCCCATGAAAAAAAGCCACAGAACTTCACAGCTTAAACCTGAAGTCCTCCCTCTATCAGAAACATCGGGCAGCACAGTGCAAATCCAACCAAGTTGTAATGCCAGTTCAAATCAGATCTGGCAAAATCAGCACAGCTTCAAAAAGTGGCTTCTGCTCCAATCACTCCTGGGGCGTGGAGCCCTGGCAGCTCTTCCTGATGCAAGTTTTCAGCAGATGACAGCAGCTCGTGTCAGAACAAGTGTTCCCAGGCAAGCAGGACCTGCTTTGTGGCTCATAGCAAGCCTCAAATGCTTGACACAAGGAAGTGATACGCTGCAGTTCTGATCACTGTTAACCTTCCGAGTGTTACGCAGTCCTCTGAAGTACCTGCTACACTTGGCTACCTCCATTTACTTCCCAAAGTTAACATTAGTTAAATACAGCAACCTAATGAATGACCTCCATTTACTTCCCAAAGTTAACAGAAGTTAAATACAGCAGCCTAATGAATTACTGCTTTGCAGCCAATTCATTCCTATGTCCGCTTTAAGATTTCTCCCTTCCTTCTCTCTCCAAAAAATAGATGGAAAACCATCAGTTATGTCAGTGCATTTCAAGTCCCACTTCCACCAGCACAGGCTCACAGCGTGTCAGTGCACTCACACAGAGGAACGTTACTCTCTGCTAAAATCAGTGCTGGCTTTTCCAGGAGGCCACACAACCCCCACAGTCAGCAGAACGTTTTCTGACCATGAGACAGATCCTGTTCTGCTTGTAGAACAGAGGGACAACCCGGCTCTCAGCTCTCCCCATTGTAACAACTGAGCTCTTTCATGTCAGACTGTAATTCGTTACACCTGAGAACATGGTTAGTTCACACTGCCACAACTAATTTCAGCTCTGAAAGCAGAACTGCGTTAAGTTGGTTTCAGTGTCAGTGCTGATGTTGGCAGCCCAATCCAGCACAAGCTCCAACGTGTCCTTTTCATGCAAACCCAGCTGGTAGCACCTGGCACTTTGAAAAAACCCAAACTGTGTGGTACAAACTGAGCTAAAGGAATGTCACAGAAATGGAATTGAGTGAGAAAAACTCGTCCTCTACCCAGAAAAGGCAGAACACAAAGGAAAACTATTGTAACATCCATTACTCTTGGCATGAAATTCTACTCAATCATCTACATTTTATATCAGAAGTCCCCACTGGCATTGCAACAGTTAAAGCTTTACATTTTGCCTTTGTCTCTTACCTTTCTAGTGATGAAGTCAAATTTCGTATCGCACTGCATACATCTCGGGCACTAGAAAACAGTACAAATTAATGTTAACCTGTAAGATCTGCCAACATCATTCACCCTAAGGAGTACTGCATCTCGCCAAAATGGCATTTCAGGTATCTTTAACACGTTTCCTTGTGTTTGGGTCTCCACAAAGGCACGTATTCATAGTTGCATTCTTTCCTGAGTTCCTACAGCTGTAGAAATCTAAACTCTTGCAGCCAGGCTGTTACAGAGTTCAGCTGAATGCCATCTCCGTGACCTCCCCTAGGCTGAGCCACTGCTATCTGCTTAGCACACAGTCACCACCGTTTGCTTCTAATTAATACAGTTCAATACCAAACTCTTTATCTTCTAAGAACTCTCTCCAGTTACAGCAGCTTCAGGAGTCAATTTCTGGTGTAAAACAGAAGTCCCTTTCTCCATCACCATGCCACATTGTACAGCTACAGAAAAACAGCAGCTAAGGAGAAGAATCTCCAGAAACATTTCAGTTTCATGTAACTCCAGTTTTATACAAAACATTCACACACCTAAACAAAAGGCTTAACAAATCAGCAGCAGTCGCTGTAACGGAGCAGAAATAACCACGCTGCAATCTCTGGCACAGGAAGCTGTTTCTCAATCCCGCACAAAACAGAACTAGAAGTGCTCCTGCACTGTTCTGTGTACTGAGTTCACCCCAAACCACCTCCCTTCTCAGTGGCTCCATAAAAGCTGCTTCTCACAGACACTGACTGTGATCTGCCAGCATTCAGCACCTGCAATGCCAAGGTTTGCTCTGCAGTGTTCTACAGCTAATACCACATTTTCTCTACCCTGACCTTGGTTTACTGATTTAAGTTTTGACACGCTCCATAGTCTGGGAGCTAGGCACAGCAAGAATTTCAAACCACTCTGAGTTTACCAGGAGTCCGATTCATTTTCTTTGAGCAAATCTGTATTTCTGGACAGAAATCAGAAAGCACAAGCCACAGACCAGGGAGAGAATGCTCTTCTCAATCCCATCTTGAATAGGTTTCGCAGATAACATTAGGTTAGAGTATACAAGTTGCCCTTCAGCAACGAACAGAACTATCCTTCCTCACATTTCATACTGACTTTGTAGAAGAACATTCCTAACCTCCAGACCAATTCCAATACCTTATATACCAATAACCTTCCAATACCAAACCCAATGCACAGTGCAGTTAGAAATCAGAAGGAAATGGCACATGCTAGCAGCTCTCACAGCAGAGTTTTGATACTGAACAGTTCCAATCCAAGCAGCCTCAACACGTTTTTTCCTTTGTGGCACTTCTGTTTTAAGTAACCACAACCATGAGAACCCATTTGCATCATGACTTGGCCTGGGAACAGCTCACAAATGGAGAACATCTTTAAAGGTAAATCCTTCCCATTCATCCTTATGACGCAGGCAGCATTGCTTAAGTCTGCTCACATTTACAGAAAACAAAGCATGGCACTTGAGTTACTTTTCATGTCTTCAAGGCACAGGCTTTTCAAAACTACTGCCGTAGAACCGAGAAGATAGAAAACAAGACATTAAATAAAAATTAATTAAAATTATTAAGATACTGATTTCAGAATCAATGGTATCAGATTACTTCATACATCAAGATGAAAAGGGAACAGCAACCAGATGTTGGGTGCTGGTAATAATGCAGGAGCAACAAGAACTGGTTACGAGCCGAGGAACTTCTGATGCAGTTGCTGAAGTGTGATAAGGAATTAGTGCAACATTTTAGATCCAGACAGAAGTGGGAACAATGCAGATAGACAGGAAGCTTTAGTTACACTTCACTTACTTTATTTGCATATATAATAACAAGCTGACATGAGAAGCAATGCAAGCCTACCCCTGGTGAAGCACATTAACACAGTGACTGTGTGACAACGTTTGCAAGCTCATCAAAACAGGTGCCATAACACGCCCAGCCAGAACGATGCCAGTGGAAGATGCCTTCTGATAACACTGCAGCCACATGTGACCAATCCTCTGCCTGAGCTGCACGAGTTTGCTATCAGGAGAGCAGCTGTCACACGGCCACATCAAGCACGGCTCCACTCTGCTGCAAGCCCAGAGCCCCACCAGTAGCTCCACTCACACAGGTGTATGTCCTCAGCCATGTGAGATCTGGGACACAGGTGGATCTTGGGAGCTTTGGCCACCTCTGCACTCTACCAGCATTCTTACTGCAGCATTTCCTCTATAGGAACATCACCAGTTGAGCTCTACTAGTGATTAACGCATTTTAGATACATCAATTCTTAAATATATTATCTAACTAGTTTAAATAAATGCTACTACAAACCCCCAAACAACTTTCAGTCGAATTAAGGTGGCACTACATATTTGAGTTAAAAGCACTTTTTTTTTTTAATGGAACTCTTCAGCTATAATTGAGACTTGCTAAAATATCAAGCCACGTTCAATGTCAGGGAGGAAACTGCTTTTAGTATAGGACAACCATCCATGGAGGTGCCCAACGCCGGGCTGGATGGGGCCCTGGGCAGCCTGAGCTGCTGGAGGGCTGCCAGCCCGCGGCACGGTCGGGGCTGGGTGGGCTCTGAAGTCCCTCGCAACCCAAACATTCAGGGATCGCGTGACCCACACTCCAGTTACGCCCGATGACCGGCAGCCCTCAGGTGTCCAGGCAGCAGAGGCCAAGGTACGCACAGCGCAGATCCGGGCCCAGCCGGGCTGCAGGAGGCACGGGCAGCCCCGTCCCGCTGCAGGGCGGCACTTTCTTCCTTGTTCCCAGCCGGGAGGAACGGCCCCGCTTAACGCCTGCCTGCTTACACTCAAGGAGCCTCATCAAAACTCCTGCTTAGCCGGGGCCGCACGTCAATTAAATGCGCTGGCCTGAGTCCACGCCACAGCGCGGCGGCAATAAGCAAACAACTAGCGCTAAATAAACAGCCGCTGCGCCTGCCAGCACCGGGCTGCGGGAACGGCTTAACGACCGACGCACGTTACACCAAACCCGGACGCACGTCGGGATCGCAGAGCGCACGTAACGAGCACCGAAAGGCAAAGCTGACCGAAACGCCCCGATCGCCCAGCGAGCGGCCTGAAGGCGCCCGCTAAGCCACGCCAAGCGGAGCCGCGCGCTTTGCGCCCGATGCGGCCCCGCAGACGGCCCTGGGGCGCGCAGGCTGAGAGAACCCCCGCCCGGCCTCGTACCTCTTTGTCGGGCACCCAGGGCGGCTCGTCCAGGCCGAAGGGGCTGCGGGCGGAGCGGTGCTCGGGCACCATACGCAGCCCGCTGAGGGAGCGCACCAGCTTCTTGGCGTCGCGAGCCTCGCAGCCCGACATCTTCCTCCGACGCTGCTCCGCCGCCGCCGCCGCTACTCGCCCCTCGGGACTGGCAGCGCTGCCACCCAATGACCGCGCGGCCCGCTCGGGACGAGCGCGGCGCTAGGCCAATAGGAAGCGGCGTCTCGCCGGTCCCCGCCCTCCCGCTCGAGAGGACCAATAGAGACCGCTCGCACACTTCCAGCCAATCCTGCATCGTTCGCGGCTGAAGGCGGGCGTGTTATTCTTTCCTCACCCCTCTGGGGGCTCGCTGCGCGTGCGCAGAACGAGCGGCCGGCCTCGCGGCCCGGAAATGAGGGGCTCCCCGCCCAGCCTCCCGGAACAGCGCCCTGCCGGACCGTAGTGCGCCCCGCCCGGTCCTTGGCTGTGCCGGGGAGCCCGGGCCATGAGGCGCTCTGATAGGCCGGCAAGTTGTGACGTCGCGAGCGAGCTGCCCGCCGATTGGCTGCTGCGGCTCCAGCGCGGAGGTCGTAAGGCCCGGTGAGGGGAAGCACTGAAGTGATCTCGGGTTGGGCCGCGCGGCATCTCTGCCGCTGTCCGTGGACGGCATCCGCTGCGCTAAGCGGTTCGGAGACCTTCCGGGCGGAGGCCGGAGTAGCCACACATGATTTCAGCGAGCTTAAACTCTCGTCAGAATGCCGCGTTGAATAGCTGCCGCCTAGCAATAGCGCTTCTCTTTCCCCCCGCGCTCCGCCTGCCACCAGGCCCCATGGCAGCTGCCGCGCCCCGCAGGTGAGCGCGCGTGCGGCCTCCTGCCTTGTTCGTGCGACTGCCGCTGTCGTAAAGACGGCGCGCGCGATAGTGCCGCGCCTTACGGCACCGGGTTGTTCCGGCGCTAATCCGGTGCGTTGGGACGAGGCGCTGAGCGGGGCGGTCGCGGTGTGTTGCAGTGTGGGATCCGCGATGTTCCCACAGAGTGTTCGCAGTCAGTCATGCTTACGTTTCCTCGCGTGCATACCTGGCTTAACAAATAACAATTGCCTCGTGCTCTGTTTGCCCCAGTGCCGTATCAGGACATGGACTGGGACCAGTTTGACCTGAACCCGAAGGTGATTGCTGCCCTTAAGAAAGGTAAGGGCCTGGGGACGTGAGCTGCAGTCATGTAGTGCCTGCCTGCGTGGGACTGCATGCTCTGGCTGTCGGCACGCAGGGCTGTGCTAACGTTTGGAACGGTCATTTAATATTTCCTAAGCAAGTGTTCTGAACAATTAGAAGCAATGGCTTTTCGCCACATGCCAGTGGTCATTTTCCAAATGCCGTGGCATTATTTTGATCCATTCGAAGTAAAGGTTAGCTGCACAGAATGTACTGTAGGTAAACTTCAAGGAAATGAGCAGTGCAAAGTCAGAAAGCTTTTGTGCACGACTGCAATGCAGTGGGAAGTATTTATAAAGCTTCTCTCCGTTTCAGCTGACATAAAATCAATAAAAGAGGTGTTAAATCTTTCTGGAGCAGACTTGCAAAGGTTGATGAAACTGTCCAGTGCAGATGTGGAATGTTTGCTGAAAACAGTCTCTCGAACTCTGAGGAAAAACTGTATGCTTACAGGTAATAAAGTCAGTGTGTAAAAAAAACGTTCTATGTAAACCTGGAAATACTGTGATGGTGAGCAGATACGAGCTTGGTTCCTCACTGACACAGTGGTGTGGTTCTGAAAGTGAAAAGTCGAGTTATGCTGTAGTTAGTTATTTAATTACCTTAAGGGCACACTTGTGGGACCTTGAAAGTAGATGAAGTTTTATCAAAGCCATTCTTTGGGATCAAGCCAGCTTAAAACAGCAAAATAATTTTCCGGTCTGGAAAACTTGATTGGAGAAACACAAGATTTTTTTTTCTTTCCCTCCTTCTTTCAATAATTTCCTTTTGGGCCGAGGCTGGTTGAAAAGTTTGCATGGTATATTATAAACTACGTGAACTGATTTTATGTGATCACTTAATTCCAAATGAAGCTGGATCTGATAGCACTCCCTGCAAAAATGCTTCGTGGCTGCTCTGCTATCAGAATCTATTTCCTTGTGGGCTGCAAATAGCTTTAGGCCTTGGCCAGATGCCAGCAGTGCTGTTTCACAGTCAGCAAGATCTTCCCCTGAGTGTAGCTCCCCACAGAGACTCCTTAGAGGCGAAGAAAGGAGAAGGTTTTTTCAGCTCAGGGTAATTTCTTGGGTTTTAAACAGGCATTCAATCAGTAGGTTCTGTGAGGAAGCCTGGGCTGAACTGGGGAATTCTCCCATTGACAAAGGAGGCATCCCTTGTAGGTACAAATCTACAGCGTCAACATCTGTACTGTGTCACTGTGCGTTAGAAGGATACTAAGTGCATTTTTCCTTCTTTCTGTCTATTTTTTTTAATCCTTTGAAAAACCACACAGCACTTCAGCTCTACCAAGAGAAGGATTGTTTCTCCTCCCAGTGCCGGAAGCTAAGCCTGGGATGTTCGGTGCTGGATGACTTGTTGAAAGGTGGCATTCCTTTAGAGGGAATCACAGAACTTGCTGGGGAAAGTTCTGCTGGGAAGACTCAGATTGGTTTGCAGCTGTGTCTTTGTGTGCAGTATCCTTACAGATATGGTGGATTAGAGTCGGGTAAGTATTGACATGTAAATATTGATTGATTTGCCATTTGGAGGAATCTACTGTCTAAGAATGTTAAAGAATCGCAGAATGGTTCAAATTGAAAGGAGCCAGAAAGACCACATGATTTCACCCCATGGCACAGACAGGGCTGCCCCCCACCAGCTCAGGTTGCCCAGGGCCCCAGCTGGCCTTGGGCACCCTCAGAGATGGGATATCCACAGCTCCCTGGGCAGCAGTGCCAGGGCCTCAGTGCCCTCACGTGGAAGGATTTACTCCTGATGCCATCAGTGTGACGTGGCAGCAGTCTTACTCTTCCTTCCATGTTGCACTGGGTTTAATTTAATGGGCAGAAATTACATTTTAGCTGACCCTACTTCGGTTTAAGTTGTGTAATTATTCAGAACAGAAGCAGATATATTCTGTGCAGTTCCTTCCTGTGTTGAAGAGCACTGTGCACCACTCTGTGGTGGGATTTGGGGTGCTGTAATGTGGGCACTTTCAGTTAAATTGGAACCTTTTGGTCTCTGTGTCAGTGTGGTCAGAAATTAATTACTACTTTGGGAGTCCAGGTTTTTATCCAGTTTTCCAAGGTTATGCTTTGGTGAAAGGTAAGAGCTCTTGTCAGGCTTTTAGGTGCTAAACAGTAGCAGCAAAGTGTGAATTGCCAGCTTCAGGCTTTGTGGTTCTTTCAGGTTTTTTTTCCAATACAACAGGCAAGTTTGGTATTGCTTGTTGAGAACAGCTACGTTTTAGAGGTGGGCAAGGTGCAGAAGGCTGATGGAAGTGCTCCATGGCCTCCGTCCTTCGTAGATGGAAATGTTGAATTACATTTCCTTACGCAGTATAGATTTATTGTGTATCTTCTTTGCTTGACTTCATGCTAATCCTGTTTACAATTCTCAGTTCTAGAAGGCTGGCAATAAACCAAGAAATGAGGACATCCTTTGCCTCAAGGTTATCCTTCTGCCATTCTAACAATGTCGGTTATGGTCTGTTGCATATTATGAATTTATTTTCCATGCCCATATTCATGAGTAATACATGAATGTAATGTGACATGCATTTCCATGTTAGAAATTCCAAATTAGAAAAAATTGTTTGCTACTGCTTCTCGTTAACCAGGCTGGTTTGGTGCAGGTTGGGTTCATGGGACTGGAAATTCTTACTTTGTGTGACAAGCTCTTGCAATTCTTGAGGGTTTGGGGTTGAAACTGAAGAAAAATACATCCCAGCTGCGGGACTGTAAGGAAAGATGTCTATAGGATCACTGAGGATGACAGGTTTCTTACCTCCCACCTTCCTTATGAGAAGTGAAAAATACTTGTGTTGCTGGTGGTGATGAGGCTTTCTTAGTGAGCTGTAAACAGGAGGGTGCCGTGGGATTTTCTGTTTGTGTACCAATCTCCTCTTTTTATTCAGGTTATGGCAATTCATCTGTCTTTTCAGATATGTGAATAGTATTCAGTGCTTTGGAGGCATGGTAAGGCATCAGCCTTTGATACTGAGTTGAGTAGTTTTAGTTGTTTCGGTTTGCCTGGGCCGCGCTGAGTGAGGAGGAATTCTCTTGGGCTGTGTAGCTCGCTCCAGAAGTAATGCCTCCTATTTGTATCTGTGGAACTTACAGCAGCCACAAGGAGCAAAGTGACACCGTTTGATGGGACAGATTCTCAGCTACAAAACGCTGTTTTTCAACACAGTCACCACGTTCAGCCGTGCGTTTTCACCAGCAATGAACAAGAGCCGTGCGCTGCACTCATGACAGCACCAGTGGTGGTGATCCCACTGTGACCACTGCTGAAACGCAGCACCCACTGCCTCGCTGTGCTCACAGCCACTGTTTGCTCTCTGTAAATGTTCAGCAAGGGTCAGTGAATGTCAGCAGGCACTGCATGGAGCAATTCAGTGGCACTCCTTTGTTCCATACGAGCTTCTGCTGTTTTGGTCAGACATGGTTTTGTCAGAGTGATTTTTAAAAAGCAGATGCTCTCTCTGTAAGTCACTGTCTGTGGTAAAGAAATGGCTGTCTGTCTGAATTAGGAAGTGCTGTGCTAAAAGTAATCAGCTGTGAATAATAAGAACGGTAGTTGGGAAGTCTGGAATGCTTTGCTCCAAGGGCTCCTTTAGCCTAAGGATATCTCAGCACAAGTTAGCGTGGCTTCCATTAGTTTGAAATTCAATGTTGCAAGCCATAATTAGCCCATTGGAGCAAATACTGATGCTGAATACACGTAACATCAAATTTGTTACAGAGGTTTCTCTTGGCTTGCTGATGTTTTAGAAACTGAAAATCTGACTGGGAGTACATGAACTGCAGTGATTTCTACAAGAATTTATGGAGGGATTGAGGAGAACTGAGCTAGGAAGTTTAGTGCCAAAGAAAATTAGGCTTTTTATTAAGAAAATATTGCACATATTTATTTTTTTCTCCAACATCTTTGATGTGTGCAGTTAATTTTCTCAGCAGTAACGCACACT